TAAAGAAATAAATTAAGAAATGACATTTTACAAGATCAGCTGTCCACTGTAAACAATACTCACCATGTTTGATGAGGTGCGGATGAGTGAAAGGACTGGGCTGGCCAAGGTAACGAGGTGGAACCGCCTTTGGCTTCAACCCGCCAGGTTTCACAGAAATGTTTCTGCACAGGCACCAAATACATCCTACAGACAGAAACACACACAGACTGTAAACAGGTGCTTTGGTCAATTCAGTTTGACTAAAGCAAAGTTATATCAGTTCTGTCCGCTGGGTGATGCTGGAGCATTGTATATAGTAGTTTTTTCTCATGCATCTTTTTAAACAATTTTAGAGTTCGGTACTAAAAGTGAGTAAAAGTTAAAAAAAAAAAAAAAGACCCAACCCCATTTATAGCAATTTTCAGGCCACTACAAAGCATCCCGATGATTATTTACTGGGTAGAAGTCTGCCTGTCCTTACGGTTTCATGCAACATATCAGTGGGACGAGTGGGTGTCTTCAAAATGAGATAGAGAGAGAGATCAGTTGCATTAACAATCTCCCACCTACTTATCTTTTGCTCATGTTACTAGGTAACAACAGGATGTCATGGGACAACTGACTATTAAAATTGGTGAGTGATCTAAGCCCTGTGACATTAACAGATTTTTTTAAAGTGTAAAACTGGAGCAAATGTAATATTATACATATGTATTCAGTTACAGTGTGTCTGATGTCAGCCAATATGTAAAACTTTATCCATACAAAACATTAAAAAAAAAAAAAAAAAAAAGGGGGGGGGGCCCATTTAGCAATAACCTAGAGGGGGGGGGGACTGACAATGATCAGCTCCAGGCCTCGCAGACCAATAAGTTGCGTCACAGCAGCTTTATCAGCATAGAACAGCGTCTCACATCAGAAAATATTTCAGTGTACCGACGGGTAAATCGCTGCCCACTGGTGGTGAAGGTTTGAAGTTACATTTTTTTAAAAGAGCGATTACAAAACATACCTTTATATAAACAACTAAAAAGCACAGCGGCGCTGGACAATGTAAAATTATTATGACTTTATTAGATATTTATTATCTGAGCACCAACATATGCTGTATTTTACAGGTTGAAGCAATGGTGAAGTTAGAGTAGACCATCTGTACAGTGCTGTGAAAAAGCATTTCCATGATTCCTGATTTCTTAGTTTTCTGCATAGTCGGTACACATCATCATCAAGCTCATCAACAAACACTTTTTTTAAAAAATTAGAAAAATATAACCTGAGTAAATACAAAATTCAGTTTTAAGTGAATATTTTATTTAATAAGGAGAAAAAAACCCTACCTGTCCCAATGTGAAAAAGTATTTTGCTAAATCATGAACTGTGATTAATTAACCACATTTTTGGAAAGCTGAGTGCAATTTCAATTTAACTATTTTTTTTTTTAAATTAAACCTTCATTTAAGGACCACATTTTGTATTTTCTCAGGTCATCTTTGCATATTCATTAGCTAAACCACATAAATGGGACACATATGCAATAAATAAATAAATAAATCAGGAAGAAGAAAAAAAAATCATTGCATTGTAACTACATGCCAGTTCAGTTCAGTGGATCTAAGCTCCAGTACTGTGCAAAAGTTTTGAGCCAAATGAAGAAGCACAGGGGTGGCTGTGTCCATAAGAACTTTTTGTTGATCCACCTACTGTTCACTGAAGGGTCATTAGAAATGGTCTCAGTGGAAGGTTGAGGGATGCCAAATTACACAAGAACTGGACCAAAAATCAGTGACAACAGGTCTGATGGAGTGTTGAATCCAAATGTGACATTTCTGGTTCAAACTGTCATCAGTATGTACAGGGGAAGTCAAGAGAGAGGTGCAACAGTGAGTGTCTACAGCAATCTGTAAAACAGGGTGGAGGCTCTATCATGGTTTGGAGTTGCATTTAAGCCAGTGGTGTTGGGGATCTTGTCAAAATTGACGGAATTACGAACGCAGAAAAGCACCATCAGACTTTGATCCACCATGCAATCTGCCTTTTAAGTCTGACGTCATTCGCCGTTTCAGGGTTCAAACTCCTCTTCAGTTCCCAAACTCAAACAAACACTGCCGCATCACTGGGAGCTAAAAAGTGCCAAAATTCTTTAGTTTGTAATGAAGTAAAAAGTGTGGCTGCTCTACCAGGTGTAACAATCAAGTTTAAGATTCAGGCATCCATAAAAAACAGGATTTATGAAGTTAGAGGTTAGTGAGGAGTAAGTTCGCTAGTTTCTATCCAAAGATGATATACAATATTCTGACTGAGTTATCCTGAAAAATGAAAAGTACAGCGCAGCAATCACTTTGGACATGCATGAAGACAGAAAACTAAACAGCAGCAATGTTTGTAAGGTTACTGAAGTTGGGCTAGCTGACAGAGCTATGGTTGATATGGAAAATAAAAACACATTAGCACAGTGAAGTTGGAAGATGAACGCTAACTTTTTTGCCCTCAATGAAAGTTAATGTGAGGGACCCCGATGGGCAAAGACAAATGCAATCATACAACAGGAAAAAGACACTGAAAACGGACCAAACATCAGTCAGCAGAACACCTGTGATGATCCATCCCCAGCACGAGGTCAGTCACTGATATCCTGCTGCATAGTTCTGATTACTCGCTATGAACAAATTCCTGATCCTCAGCTTCATGCACCCATTCAAATCTTCGTTAGCCTCAGAGTGATACTTTTCTGACACATTCAGATATTTGGTGGCTCTCAAACCATAAGCTGGTTTAAATCAAATGAGCTTTACAACGTGCTGCAGACAAATGGCAGTAATAAAAACCCAGAGATGTGATCAGCCAGTGATCACTGACTATTTTAAGGGCTTGTTCAGATTAAACTGAACACAATACAAACACTTTTAAAAGACACCAGCCTTAATGGAAACAGGGTTTATACGTCATCACTTAACAACCGGATACTATCTGGAAAGTGTCTGATTTTTCAGGATGATAAGGATCCCAAACACACCACCAATGCAGTAAAAGCATACCTAGAAAAACACACAATAACACTATCAGCCATGGATTGGCCTCCCCAGAGCACAGACCTCAACATTATTGAAGCAGTGTGGGATCATGTTGAAAGAGAATAGAACAAAACCAACATCCAGAGAAGAGCTTTAAATGTCCTTCAAGAATCCTGGAGAACGATTCCTGAAGATTACTTAGAGAAATGAAAAGAAAGCTGCCTAAAAGACGTTAGACTGTGTTGAAGAAAAAAGGTGGTCGTACCAAATACTGACTTTCAAGCTGGTTAGAATTATTCAAACTCTGTTATTGCCTTATATACTGTCTCTAGACGGGTTTTCCCCCCCAATTCCCACCCAACATGTACATAAGAGAGACGTGGTTCAGGACTTTTGCACAGTAATGTCATTGTAGTGATTGTAAAGTTACTGTCTCTAACCTCCACTCCAGGTCCGTGGCATCAGCTTGACAGCGGTCCTCACCAAGGCGCTCGCTGAGAGCAACATTGTTGCTGCAACTTGAGGACACCGATCAGTCACAGCATGTCGCTCCCCTGCGGAACAAAGTGTGACAGTCAGCGAACTACCGAGCACTCATATTCACAGAGACACTCTGAAGTAACTTATTATCACTTACCGAGGTTAACAGTCTCTCCTCCAGCAGTTATTTGTACCCTGAATGACAGCTACACCTAGCTAGCTCGCTATTCTCACGTCTGCTAGCCACGCTCGTTTGTAGTGCAGGAGAATTGCTTCCCTGAGTTTGGTTTCCCAGGTAGAGAAGCGGAACCCTCTCCCTTTACTACTTGTTGAACCGACTACAAGTGAGTTTTTATTTTACTTATTTGTACACTCAATAAAATGGAGGCTATCGAGTGCCAAAAGGAATCAAATAACTACTTAAACAATTAATTAAATGTAATTAATTAAAATTGTTAACAAATAAATTATTAAATGTTTTAAATGACATTATTGATATTTCAATTAATTATGTATAGATTTATTTAATGTAGTATTTCATATTTTAATTAATTATCACATTTTATTATTTACTGAATGATGTATTTATTTGATTCATTGAGGCACTGTATGTCCTCCATAAAATACACCATCAGCTTGTAAAAACAAGTCACAAACATTGCTCTCTCATAAAAAAAAATAAACTACTAAACTAGAAACCAGCACAACACTGTCACTCTATTATTTAGTATGATTTTAACTTACAACAAGAAAAAAAAATGCAGAATATTACAGGAGCTTCTTTCTAGCATTTCTACTACATGGTAGAAACAACAAATACATGTATATTTATTAGCGATTTACACTATGAAATTCAGCGTATATGATTAGAAAATGAAAGTGCCTAAACCGTCAGGCGCGTTACTGCCTGGAGGCTAGACTCCGGGAAAACTGGTCCAATCCAATGATGAGGTAACATGCTGTCTGTGCATTTTAACCCTGAGCGTGACATTTCAGGGAATAACGAGACAAGGTTCAAGGTGGGATGGGTTTGTATGTTGTTATTGCCTATTTTATTGCCTATTATTGAACTTAATTTTCGTATTTATGTTCCTCTTCTTGTATACAGCGCTTTGTGACTGTTTGCCTGTTAAAGTGTTTAATAAATAAACTTTGCTTATTCATTTATTTATTATTATTGTCACGATGCTGATACAGCCATGACTAGTAAAAAAAAAAATCTAAAAAAAATCTAAATGCACTGTTATATTAAAATGATCCAGTACAACTACAGGAAATGCTATTCACTATGTCAGTAGAAAGAATATTAAATATTTATATATATTTGTATTAATTTGTATTTAATATTTCTATTTACAGATATTTATATAAGAAGAAAAAATGTTAACGTTTTTACTACTTGGGTTCATTAACCCCTCTAATGAAATAATCTCGTACTTCTAGGGTTTACAAAGTTTGGGGGAGCTGAGTTGATTCGCACGCGCTGTGAAGCAGAACCGTTCCTGTCAGGCCAAGCTCAGGGCACACACCACCCTTACCCCCTTGGTCTGTCCGATAACACGCCTGAATGAAAACCCAGGAGCGACGCCACTGTCGGTGAAGGTGTATTATAGTACTAACATCGACTGCAGGCTTCCTCTGTGTGTTTTTTCCTTAACTGTCAGTTAGGCATATCTTCGGCCGGGTGAGTTTGCTTTTATTCCTGAAAATAATGTTTGCATCTACGAACTATTTTGATTAATCACGGCCCGCGGTGCAGCAAGCTAACGACGTTATTATGCGTCAAACGGTCGCCGCGTCACAGATGAATTCACATTTCTAGAAACTTCTGACCTACGACCCCTGAAACAGTCACTACCCGTAGTCGTTGAGTGGTTGGTTCATTTGTAAAGCTTCAGTAGCGCTTGTTGCTGGTTTTATATTGAACTGTGGAGCTGGTTACTGCGCACGCTCATTCAATCCTTGTGCGTTAGCATACCTAGCTTACGGATGCTGTCATTTGTTTACGTGCAGCTAAACACAACTCCGGACTTTGCTAAGCTGTTGATTGTTTTTCCTCTCTGGTTTCCCCCTGCACGTAGAGCTCCGTCTGGTGGACGTGAAACTGTAGCATGGACCCACGGAAAGTGGCCGAGCTGAAAGGCTTCGTGCAGTTGTGCGAGGCTAATCCCGGGATCCTGCACCTTCCAGAGATGGGCTTCTTCCGGACGTGGCTGCTAAAGTCAGTACACTAGGAACTTACCTGTTGCTAAAAACAGTGGGAAGCCATTGTCTAATGCTGGTCTTCCTGGTTTAAGGAATCACAGATGATTTTTTTTTTTTCATAATGCCAAAACAAGTGCTTAGGTGAGATCTCAAACAGATTGTAGGGTTGACCACATGCCCTGTTCTGCCCACCTAACGGTAAAGAACACGGCCCCCCACCGTAGGGTGCACAAAGCAAAGCCTCACAACACAACGAATTGTTAAAGTAAAACCCCAGAGGTTATTTTGCTTCCGTTGTTGTTAATACCTCAACTCTGCAATGCAGAAAACTGTTTTGTTTTTTCATCTGAACAGCTCAGATGAGCTCAGATCGGACTGTGGTACTGTTATTTGTATATGTTTTTAAGGTGCAGTCACTTATTTTTTTGAGTTTGTTTAATAGAAAAAGATATTGTGCTTATGAATATGCATCGATTAGTGTGTAATTATATTGTCCAACAAATTGATGTTCTTATAAACTAATTAGTTCTCTTAAAAAAAAAAAAAAATACAGAGGTACAGGTGTCACTTTATGGAAGCCGCCATGTTACTCTGCAAACTTGAATACAGTGACTGAGATGTACATCACTGTATGTGGGTAGAGACCAGCAGCATACGTCAGAGGCCGCAGAGAAATCGTAAGCATTCGCATGCGGTGGAGGTGAGATTTAATTTGTCTGCGCCTTCACACTCAAGATATGAAAAGTTACACCTAGGTTTTATCGGTCCCCTTCACCAAAGAAGTGAAAAACGCACGATGGCATCTTAATAAAACATCATCCTCTTGCTCCTCACCTCAAGCCTCATCTCCTAAATTGAACTCAGAGAGGTCTAACACACAGAAACGTGCATAAACATGCTTATTTATTCTTGATATTGTCACAGTTGGGTATTGTCAGCCGATTAGACACGCAACCCTCCTGAGCAGACAATGAACAGGCTAAACAACAAAGGTTGGTTATAAGCTAACATTATGCCAGGTAATTTTAGGCTCTTGTGTCCTAAAAATTGCTGTTCCATGTGATAAACAAACCTCAGTGACACTGTTATCTGAAGAAAGCGAGCCTCACTGACCCACTGATTCGTTTCAGACTCTTTCAAAGCTTTC